TGCAGATATTGCATTTTTTTTTATAAATTAAAGGTTTGTGGCAACACTAAGTCAAGCAAATCTATTGGTGCCATTTTTCCAAAAGCATTTGCTCACTTCCTCTGTGTCACATTTTGGTAATTTTCACAATATTTCAAACTTTTCAATTATTACTACATTTGTTATGGTGATCTGTTATCAGTGATCTTTGATATTACTGTTGTAATTGTTTTGGGGTGCCAAAAACTGCACCCATATAACACAGACTTAATTGATAAATGTTGTGTATGTTCTGACTGTTCCACCAACCAGCAATTCCATTCTCTCTCCTTGGGCCTCCTCATTCCCGGAGACAAAACAATCTTTAAACTAGGACAATTAGGGGCGCCTGGGTGGCTCGGTCGGTTAAGTGTCAGACTTCAGCTCAGGTCATGATCTTGTGGTCCGTGAGTTTGAGCCCCACGTCGGGCTCTGTGCTGACTGCTCAGAGCCTGGAGCCTGTTTCAGATTCTGTGTCTCCCTCTCTCTCTGCCCCTCCCCTGTTCATGCTCTGTCTCTCTCTGTCTCAAAAATAAATAAACGTTAAAAAAACATTTTTTTTAAATTAAAAAAAAAACTAGGACAATTAATAACACTAAAATCGCCTCTAAGTGTTCAAGTGAGAGGCAGAGTTTCTGTCTCTCACTTTAAATCAAAAGCTAGAAATGATTACGTTTGGTGAGGAAGTGTTGGAACTGGAGACCAGCTGAAAGCTAGACCTCTGGCACCAAACATTCAATTTGTGAATGCAAAGGAGAAGTTCCTGAAGGAAATTAAAAGTGCTATTCTAGGGAACACACAAATGATAACAAAGTGAAGCAGCCTTATTGCTGATACAGAGAAAGTTTCAGTGGTCTGGAAAGAAGATCAAAGCAGCCACAGCACTCCCTTAAGCCAAAGCCTAATCCAGAGCAAGGTCCTCACTCTCTTCAATTCTATGAAGGCTGAGAGATGTGAGTAAGATGCAGAAGAAAAGTCTGAAGCTAGCAGAGGTTGTTTCATTAAGGAAAGAAGCCATTTCATAACATAAACGTACAAGTTGAAACAGCAGCAAGTTATCCAGAAAACCTAGCTAAGATAATTAATGAAGATGGCTACACTAAACAACAGATCTTCAATGTAGACAAAACAACCTGCTGTTGGAAGAAGATGTTATCTAGGACTTTCAGAGCTAGAGAGAACTCAATGCCTGGCTTCAAAGGAGAAGCTGATATTCTTAACAGCTAATGCAGCTGGTGATTATAAATTGAAGCCCATGCTCATTTGCCATTTTGAAAAGGGTCCTTGAGAACCGTGCTAACTCTACTCTGCTCATGTTCTATCAAAGGAACAACAAAGCCTAGATGACAGCACGTCTGTTTATAACATGGTTTACTGAATATTTTAAGCTCAATTGACAATGCACTTGATCACCCAAGAGCTCTTATGGAGATATATAATAAAATTAATGTTACCTTCATTCTTGCTAACACAACATCTATTTTGCACCCCATAGATCAAAGATTAATTTTCACTTTCAAGTCTTACTAAGAAGACTTAGTTTTTAAGGCTATAGCTTCCATAGATATGATTCTTCTGATGGATATGGGCAAAATAAACGGAAAACCTTTTAGAAAGGATTCACCGTTCTAGATGCCATTAAGAACATCCATGATTCATAAGAGGTCAAAACAGCAACATAAACAGGAGTTTAGAAGAAGTTGCTTCCAACTTTCATGGATGACTTTGATGGGTTCAATACTTCAGAGGAGGAAGTGATTGCAGACATGGTAAAAATAGCAAGAAAACTACAATTAGAGGTAGAAACTAAAGGTGTGATTGAATTGCTGCAATCTAACGATAAAATTTGAATGGATGAGGAGCTGCTTCTAATGGATGAACAAAGAAAGTAGCTTCTTGAGAAGGAATCTACACCTGGTGAAGATATTGTAAAGAGTGTTGAAATGACAACAAAAGGCTTAAAATATTACATAAACTAAGTTGAAAAAGCAGCAGTAGGGTTTGAGAAGGATTGATTCTAAATCTGAAAGGCATGTGAGTAAAATGCTACCAAATAGCATTGTGTGCTACAGAAAAATCATCAGTGAAAAAGAAAAGTATTGATGCACCAAATTCATTGTTATCTTAAAGAAATTGCCACATCCACTCAACCTTCAGCAAGGCCATCCTGATCAGTCAGCAGCTATCAATATCAATGCAAAACTCTCCACCAGCAAAAAGATTACTACTCAGATGATGGTAGCATTTTTTTTAGCAACAAAGTATTTTTAAGTTAAGTTTGTACATTGTGTTTTTAGACATATTGCTATTGCACATTTAATAGACTACAGTATAGTATTAACATTACTTTTATATGCACTGGAAACCAAAAAACTCATGACTTTCTGTATTGTGACATTTGCATTATCACAGTGGTCTAGAACTAAACCTGCTACATCTCTGAAATACACTAAAAGTTGCTAAGAAAGTATATCAAAGTATATCTCAAAAGTTTTTACCACAAAAAAAGAAAAAAGATTTGGGGGATGGATTTTAAATCGTCTTATTGTGGTGATCAATTCATAGTATATACAGATAACAAATCATTACACTGTACACCTGAAACTAATTTATGTCAATAGTATCTCAATAAAAAGGAAATTTAACTGAGAATGCATATTTAAAAAAAAAAAACACCACAGTGATAACTGCTTGAGGCAAGATCCAAAGACGAATGAAAATTAGTGAAACTCCAGGGTGAAACAAGATATTTGCATAACCTCAAAATATCTGCTTCAAAATGTTTATTAATATGGTGATTTTAATATATGTCCACAAATTCTGTGATACTCTCTCTGGGATGGAATCCTTCTAACAAAGAGTACAGAAAAGAAAAATGGTAACTTTACAGAAGAGAAACTGGAGACACAACCTTAACCAAGTCAACAAAGTTAATATCAGCAATAGCTGCTAACATCATGTACTCCCAAATATGCTATGAGAAGTGAACTTCACCTATGTAGTCATCTCCCCAAATACTCTTATCTCTTGCATAACCATGAGAAAACATTAGGCAAACCCAAATTTAGGGCCATTCTACAAAGTATTCAATCACTACTCTTCAAAAGTGTCAAGGTCATGAAAAAAAGCAAAAACTGAAAACTATCACAGGCCACAGAAGACTAAGACGGGACCACTAAGTGCAATGTAATATCCTGGATTGAATGGACATTAATTGAAAAACTAGTGAAATCCTAATGAAGTGTATAGTATAGTTAGTAGTGTTGTATTAATACCAATTTCTTAGGTTTGAAAATTGTGCTATTGTTACATATAATGTTAACAATAAGGAGGGGCACCTGGTGGCTCAGGTTAAGCGACTGACTTCGGGCTCAGGTCATGATCTCACGGTCTGTGAGTTCAAGCCTGTGTTGAGCTCTGTGCTGACAGCTTGGAGCCTGGAGCCTGCTTCGGATTCTTTGTTTCCCTCTCTATCTCTGCTCCCTCTCCTGCTTGCCCTCTCTCTCAAAAGTAAGTAAACATAAAAAAATAATAATGTTGACAATAAGGAAAACTGAATGGAAGAGTATAAGGAAACTGTGTTATCTTTACAATTCTTCTGTAAATCTAAAATTATTTCAAAATAAAATATTATTTATATACACTTTAAGAGTAATTTTTATGCATTCCTTTAACTTCTTGGCCTTCTATTTCCATTCCATGTCCCTCCTCAAATTAGATCCTAATGTAATTACATGTTTTTGTACTCAGAAGTTTTATTCATCCCTATCATACTTCTTGGCAACACCATTTGAATTTTTTAATTTCCTGTAAGCAAAAGTCTCTAAATGTTAAGGAAAAGAATTCTGCTTTGAATTATCATTACAATTATTAATGGGCATTTGATCAAAGCGACATATCAATACATTTTGGTAATCACTAGAGAAAAATATGCCTTTACTGAAAATGCATTACTTGTAAGAGGAATTAAGGTTTTTTTTTCTTCCAATTAGCCCACGTATTTGTGGACGGATATTACTCCTTGCTATAATGAGATAGAATACCATCAATTCTATTCTTTTTCTTTTAAAATGATTTAACCCTTGAGAAATCTTGCCTATATAAAAAAAGTAGGGGAGCATTTATATATTGTAATAATGCTATCACTCAATTCTTCAATTCCTTCTGCGTTACATGCCAAACTCGATTGGTAATTTACTAAAGAAAAATAGAGCCAGGCATTAGCCAGAAGGTAAATTAAGTAAGTAGTCACAGGTATAGTGTGGTCTTAATATTCTCCTTAGGAAAGAGGGGAGGGCTTGAGTCATTACAAGGCGATTCTTTTAAGGTTATTTCACTAAAAAAAAAAATAAGCCCCCTTGGATTTGGGCCAAAATGGACTTAGCATACATCAAAATCCTATCTACAACACCATAATGTATATAGATTAAAAAATAAATTGCCTTCATGGGTAAATTTATTTAATTTACCATCTGTCAGCTAACACCTCCATTAGGGTCTCCTTCAACCTTCACGAGTGCAAAGAATTGAAGAAAACACCCACAATGGGTTTATCACTCAGATATTACAGCCATTAGCTTTCAATGTCCCCACCTGTTTTCATGATTGTTCATTGTTTGGTACCAGCAGTGAAACTAATGCAAAGCCCAAAGTTTTTTTTTCCTGTAAACAGTAAAGGCACTGTTGAGGCCAATCCTTGTCCACAGGGGCCTTCTCAGCATAACCACAGATAAAACGAAAAGTTTCTTTGAAACCATCCACACATTGGTACCCCAGGGACACCCCCAAGCACCCCCGCTCTAACACAGTGCTTCAGGAAAACGGTAGCGCCAGGTGTGTGGAGGGCATTGGGTACGACAGTAGAAAGGCCTGGCTGCGCAGCTTTACCTGACTTCCGTGGCAGTGAGGGCCCCTTAGGGGGGTCTGGGTACCCACGCTCAGAGAGAACAAGGTCGGCATCACAGGACGTCGAATGCGTGACGCCCTACGTCTCTCCGTTTGTTGACGCAGGCTGCACAGCCCAGAGGGCACTGCCATGGCGCTGGCGCAGGCGCGAGCGCGGGGGCGGGAGCACAGCCCTGCAGACGGTTGGTGATTGGATGAAGAGGGTTGTGGGGTGTTAGTCCGCGTACTGCTGGGACGCCACCAGGCAGCTTTTGAAAGATGCAATTCTGGCCTCGTGAGCCTTGAAGCCCGAGGTCGAACCGGGAGGAGGAAGCAACGGCGGTGGCAGCTGCGGCTGGCGAGCCCCCGGCCTGCCGCTAGGTCTCCGACCTACAGGGCAGGAAGCACAATTTTGGTGGGTGGGAGTTGGGCTGGAATCGGCCTTTGAGAGTCTTATGTTTTTATGTTTTCTTTTCTGTTTTTCTCTGACTCCCAGGTAGATGTAGGGGCTTTTCCGGCCAACTGTTTTGACTCTTCGTTACCCTTTTGTAGCAGCACTTAGGGAAGGGCTATAGGCGGGATGAATCCCGTGCCTGTTAAAACTCTAGTTACAAAGCAGTCATGACATAAGTTAACGAGATTTAGTTCTATGTCGTGTGTGTTCAAGCCATTTATGGGAATATATATTATTTTTAATTTCAGATTATTTTTATCTAGTACTTTGTTTTTTTGTTTTCTGCCAATTTTCGTATCATTTATAGGCGAGAAAATGTCTGGCAACAATGACTGGTTTCAGAGTTCCCGGGTCCCTAGCTTTGCTCAGATGCTGAAAAAGAACTTGCCAGTTCAGCCATCAGCCCAGACGGTAGCTACACCCACAGGATATTCTTCAGACAGTTACAGCCTGTCGAATATGGCATCCAAGGTTACGCAAGTGACGGGTATGACTTCTTTTTCATTTGCAATAATGTCTGAGTTAAGAATCTGGGATGGCCAGTAAGTATTGTTGAGCCTCCAGTTTAAATGTGCCCTGACTATATATCCATTTACCAGCGGCTGTGTCGCATCTGGAACTCAGATTTGACTCTGAACACTGAAGGAGGCCTGTAGAAATCTTTCCCCTTGCTATGCAATTATTTTACTATTTAACCACTTAAAGGGTGTCTTGCTTTTTTGAGGTGCAGTTGTGTTAGCCCCCTCAGGGAAGAGACTGAACTTACACTGGTTTCTATTCCATATATCACTGAGATTAAGTACAAAGCAGGGACAAACACCTAAAGTCATTTGATTTCGAAGTGAAAAGTAATATAAAACAGTGAATGGGAAACAAACTTGTCTTAGTCCCAGGACTATGTCCTCAGTCTAGGTCTTAGTGACATCATGTGTAAAAAAATGACTTTTGAGAGCCTCTGAAAACCTTGACCTCACTTAATGTTATGACAATGATAGTACTTCTTTGCAAATAGTTTGAGTACTCCAAAAGGTATTTGCTTCAACAGGTTGCACTTATCATGTGTGCCAAAATTTTTTAGTAGAAACTTACCTGTAATGAAAAACAACTAGATCTATCAGGGACAATCTTCCATTTTAGGGGAGGATTTAGTGCTTTTACTTTTTATTATTATTATTATTTTACAGAACTGACCACTGTAAACATTTATTTTTAGGTAATTTTCCAGAACCATTGCTTTCCAAAGGTCTTGCATCTACTTCAAATCCTGTCCTTCCTCCAAAAAAAATACCCAAGGAATTTATAATGAAATACAAACGTGGAGAGATAAATCCTGTGTCAGCTTTGCACCAATTTGCACAAATGCAACGAGTTCACCTTGACCTTAAGGAAACAGTAACAACAGGCAAGTGGAAAGTTGTATCTGGTTATTGCAGTACTGGAAAATACTTTCCTATGAAAAGCATAGCAAACGGGTGCCTAGATGGCTCAGTGGATTAAGTGTCCAACTTCAGCTCAGGTCATGATCTCATAGTTCATGGGTTTGAGCCCCATGTTGGGCTCTGTGCTGACAGCTCAGAGCCTAGAGCCTGCTTCAGATTCTATATCTCCCTCTTTCTCCACACCTCCCCTGTTCGTGCTCTGTCTCTCAAAAATGTTAAAAAAACATTTTTTTTTTAAAGCAGAGAGTACAAGTGGTACTAAATTTGGTTATTTTCTATATTCATGTAATGTTGGGGTTAGGTAACTAGTATGTTTTGACAAATATACTTCAGAAATTTTTATATTCATACTTTTCTGCAGATAACATACATGTACAAAATTTTTCTAATCACTGAATTTTAATTTTTTGTGTGTGGCTAGTTGAACTGAAATCCCGTTAGTGAAATTCAAGTGAAATGAACTGAAATTCAAATGAAATTCTGAATTTCACTTCTAAAAGTGAAACTAGGACTTGGATAGTATATCAAAAATAGTATATGATGGATACCCTTTCTGCAGATGTGTGTGACTATTTTCTCCATTCTCACTTAAACCACCTCCCAACCAGAAGGGTCTTTTACCACATTGTGCCTGTGGAAGGCTGCAGGAGTAAAGATCAAATAAAATGCAAACAGCAGCCTCTGATCTCTTTACCTTATGACCAATGATTAGAAAGAACTTTCGGAAAGTAGAGGGATAAGAAAATAAATGCTCTTGGGGTGCCTGGGTGGCTCAGTTGGTTGAGTGTCTGACTTCGGCTCAGGTCATGATCTCATAGTTCATGAGTTCAAGCCCCACGTCAGGCTCTGTGCTGGCAGGTCAGAGCCTGGAGCCTGCTTCAGATTCTGTGTCTCCCTCTCTCTCTGCCCCTTCCCCACTCATGCTCTGTCTCTCTCTGTCTCTCAAAAATGAATAAATGTAAAAAAAATTTTTTTAAGAAAATAAATGCTCTTAACAGGTATTGACAGGCTAAAAGTATGAGTCAAAGAAACACAATCCTTAAAAATATATATATATGTGTACACATGTGTGGGTTCCTATGGGTATTTGTATATAAAAACACATTATTAAGTAGCTTGGTTTTTAAATTTTCTCTTACTGATACTAACTTTTGCCAACATGGGTCTCAAGGTATCTTTGCAAAAGGATTTAAAGTTTTTGAGATTTTAGCAAAGATTGTCATAGTGAAGTCAAGTTTCCAGTCTGTTGTTTTGAATGAAATAACTGGTAAACATGTGACAAAAATAGAGTCTTAATATCGCGGGTGGGAGTTTTCCAAGGTCTAGTCACTGTAGGTGGGATTACTTCGTGATTGGTACTGTGGACTTTATTTTTGTGTCACTAGTTGTATTTCCCTCCATTCTTCTCAGAATGCTCTTGGAAAATGTAAGCTGTTGGTCATAGTAAGAAAAAAAATGTGAGGGCAAATCTTCATTGAACTTAGTAAAAGCTGCTCACAACTACAACCCATTGATAAGTAATGATATTTACTTTATGTGTATACTACTAGTTGAATAATCTGAATGAGTAGGTTTAATGACACCAGAGTATATTTTAACAACTCTACAGGTGATTTAGATACATACTAAAGTTTGAGAACCTGAAGCATGATGGGATGAAGCTTAAAGGCTCAGTACTCTGACACAGAGGTCTTATTCACAAATTTGATGGGTCATATCTCACACATAATAATCTCACCCTTGTTAAATAAATATACAAAATATTACAAGGTTTAGTAAGTTGGGACGGGAACCTAGGTGATCATAATGAAGGAATTTGGGAAACTGAAGTCATAGATGGTGGGAGGAAAGCAATTTACTCAAATGTAGTCAGGAGTTACTTGTAAAACTTTGATATATATGGAAACCCAGAAGTTAGTGTAATATGTAAGGAAGTAATAATAACAGTGATGATGAGGCTTATGTGGAGTGACGCTGTACCTAGCCATCCATAACGAGTAGAGACTTGAATTAACTAGAGAACTTCTAAAGTCTGAATACCAACAAGTAAAACTTGAACTGGAAAAATCTTTGGCCTATAAATTTAGATGATTCCACTTCAGTTTTCATTAGGCAAATATGAAAACTAGGTAAAAGTAATTGTGTAAAACTAATCCTTCTAGGAATTTTGGATGACTGGACATTCAGTATAAAACTGTTGTTTGTTTTGGTTTTCCTCGTGAATTCTCTCCCCTCCACTTGCCTTTAAAGTTATGGTGGTTTGAATTGCTTACCATGACACCCTGATTGGTTCACAGGATTTCTTCAAAGGGATATTTTTGTTCTGGGGCTTACAAGAGTATCAGAGTACTCAGAAGGTGGGAGAAGAGAGGTGTTGCCAGAGGCTCCACATTTTACCTTTGTTGGTCATTCAGTAGATATTTGGGTGCTTTCTATTGCCAGGTATTTCTTTATACAAGACCCTGTCCCTCCATGTATGATCTGTACTCTAAAGCTGGCCCTACTGTTCATGCTGAATTTGGAGCTAACCTGATTGCCTGATGAATTCCTCAGAACTGGTTCAGGGGTTCATCCAGCTTTGCTTTTAACCTGCATTGGCTGTGGGGCACCTGGGCGTCTCAGTCGGTTAAGCGTCCGACTTCAGCTCAGGCCACAACCTCACTGTCCATGGGTTTGAGCCCCACATCAGGCTCTGTGCTGACAGCTCAGAGCCTGGAGCCTGCTTCGGATTCTGTGTCTCCCTCTCTCTCTGCCTGTCCCTCTGCTTTGCATGCTCTCTCCTTTGCACTCTCTCTCTCTCTCTCTCTCTCTCTATCTCTCAAAAATAAAGAACATAAAAAAAAATTTAACCTGCATTGGCTGTAATAAATAAAATAAAATAAAACACAAAACTAATAGGCCAAGATAGTTTTCCACAATGTTTGTACTAGGATATTTTTCTTTATAAAATGTCATTTGCAAGAACATATTATGAATTGTTGCAGCATTCATTCTGGCTTCTTTTTCAAGGTAACGTTATGGGACCATATTTTGCTTTTTGTGCTGTGGTGGATGGTGTTCAATATAAGACTGGACTGGGACAAAATAAAAAGGAGTCTAGATCCAATGCAGCAAAATTAGCTCTTGATGAGCTTCTACAATTGGATGAACCTGAGCCAAGAATTTTAGAAACATCAGGTAAATACTCTTGATTATAAATGTTTGTAAAATTAATCTTTTTCCAGAAGGAATCACCAAAGGATTTGTTAATGAAGAATTATTTGGCAACTACAGGAGAGAAATGGCAGAATTTATTTTCTTCCATTGCTGATTGCTGACATATTTAATATTAGTTAAAATGCTCCTGTATAGGGGATTGAGTACACCCATTGTGATGAGTACTGCGTAACAAACGTATAGAATTGTTGAATCACTATATCATACACCTGAAATTAATATAATGCTGTATATTAATTATACTTGAATTAAAAACAAAATAAAAATAATAGCAAAGGAAAGAATACAAAGATTTTATATAAAAGAAAAAAATACTCTTGTATATTTCAGCACCAAATTATATGAACATGTTGGCTGAATTATCTGATAATTTGTCAGATTCTCAAGAGCTTCGTATCCAGAAACTTGATTTTCTCTGTAGTTCATTGGATTCTTATTATGCGCTTTAATACTGTGCATTTAATGCTTAGAGTTTTTAAATGCAATTTTTGTGAAGTTGGCTTATGTTAAATTCAGTGATGGTAGAGTTATTGGAGAAAATAATGGCCTAAAGTAACACAGCAAATAGGTTAAGTGTAAATTCCAAAATTAATTGCTGAAGGTGGAATATTGACTCTGAACAGACAAGTTATTTGCCCTCTAAATGCAAGCTTCATCATTTAAAAAGGGAGGACATTAAAAAAAAGAATAAATAAAAAATAAAAAAAACATAAAAAGTGGGGACACCAATAGTAACTACCTCCTATGCTGTTATTAGAATTAACTAAGTAATGTATGCAAAGCCCTTACCTAGTGTTTAGTGAATAATTTGTAATAAAATGATGGTAGCTTTTATTACTAATAATCAATTTGAGGAATATGTTACCATGGTGTATATGCTAGCATAGTAAGCAAATTTTGTCATAGTGAGCAATTTTTGCTCATTTAACGGTAGATTACATTTTGGTTCATCTGTAAATGAGAACTTTAAAAAAAGAAAAATCTGATTTAAACAGTGATCATAAACTCATTCTTTTTAAATACAAATCATCACTTTATTTTACTACTGGGCTTTTTTTTTTGGTTTGTTTTTAGTCTATTCATTTTGTCTTTCTTAATACTTAAACTTTTTGTTCTATGTTCAACTCTTCTTTCATGTATCTTTATTTTTGTTGTTTAAAACTAATAATTAAAAATGATTTATTTTGCTACATCTTGTGAGTTTTGATGTGTGGTTTTTTCATTGTTTTCAAATAATTTGTCATACTTTGGATTTATTAAGTACTTAAGAACGTACTTTGTTAATTTTCACGTTATTTTCTCTTCACTATTTTTCAGGTTTATTAATTAAAGGGCTAGGTATGATGATTCTGGTACATGTCTTATACATGCTGGCACTATAAATGTCATTATCCTTATTTTATTGAAATGCTTTCATTTTTACATGTTGTTTGACCTATAGAGCAGTGATGCAGTGATTTCATGTTGTTACAGTGTATATTTTTTTAATTCAATATAAAATAACTTTTTTATCTTGTATATTTTATGTTATATATGTTTTGGTCTTGAATTTTTTGAAATTCTCAGATTGATACTTTGTTAAACTTTGTATTGGTCCAGTGTCTTTATCCTGTTGTTTTGTTTTTAATCATTTTCTTTTGTGCATAAAATTAGATTTTTTGACCTAGTCAATAAATATTTCAATAAAAAGCTTTAACATCTGCACTTATTATGAATGTCTGATGTCATGTTATGCATTTTTTTTCCTTTTGTCCTGTAGATAATGTTTTGACTTTTTTTCTTTTAAATATTTAGAAGGTACTGATTTTAACCTAGAAATTCCTTCCTAATATGAAATCACTTTTGATAATTTTGAGTTCTGATTTTATCATTTGATAATTTTGTCATCTTTACTAGTATTCGTTTTTGTCCATCATTCATTTATCCATTCTCACACTGCTTTATGCCCTGAGTGAACAAATTTTACTCACCTAGAGCTTAGTGTGACAAGTGATTTATTTAGATTTATTTTTTTATAGATATGCCTTTGCCTTTCCAGAGTCTTTAACAAATTAATGTAAAATGTAGAACCTGTGACAAATAATATTCTTAAGACATTCTTTCAGTTTATTTATTGAAATCCTTTATATGTGATTATTTTATCAGCTATCAGCCCATCTAGGTACGTCCCCAGCAATATTTTCCCAGTTTCCTTCCAATAGTAGCATGCAGCAGAATGAATAAATCAATAAATGTTTTCAGGATGTACTATGTTCCAGGGCCTGTGGTAGGTGCTGAGGATCTAGAATTACATAAGACCTGTCCTCTACTCTCAGGGAGCTAAGATGTAAAATGCTTTGTTAAAATTAAGTTAAAATCTATCTACACAATTTCCCAAGCATCTAACTTAATCATCAGAAAATGTTTATGATTGGCTTCTAATGATAAATACTTCAAAATGCTTATTTAGGGCTAGCAAAAGTTTTGCCTGGTGGGATATGATTTTTAGTTTTTAAATATCTATCTTTTCCCTTTTTTGTGAAAATTAAAACATTTTCCCATCTCCACTGGTACCACTTTTATTTTCAATACCATTGTTTTCTCAAAAAGTGCCAATAGTGCCTTAATTATGACTAAAAGTTTTTAATAATGTATTTTCTGTGGTCACAGAGCCTGGTAAAAATTTAATTAAGTCACCTTTTTCTTTACAGTGAGTTACATTTTCTTTAAAATGTCCTAAACACTTAAAAACCATATTTTTAATTTTTTTCAAAATTCTGAGCTCAAAAAAATTATTTTCCACATATTGCTTCTTTCATATTTTGTACATGGTGTTTTTTAAGTATAATCATAATTGTTAATTTACTGTATAATGTTGCTCTAAGTTTTTTCAAGGACAGTGTTATTAATAATACTCTGTTGGGTTTTGAAAATCTTAACACTTTTTATACAATGACTTAAGAATCTGATTCTAAGTTTAGCTTATTTCAATACTGCTTTTTAAAAAAATTCAGGTTTTTAGTGTGGTAAAATAAAATTTTGTACTGCATATATATAAAATATAAATTTTAGTGTCGTAATTGTTTTAAGTGTACACTTTCGTGTTAAATATATTCACTTTGTTGTGTATCCAATATCCAGAGCTCTTTTCATCTTGAAAAACTGAAATTCTATACCCATTAAAAAATTACTCATTCCTTCCCCACCCCCACTCCACACCAAGCTCATGGCAATTACCATTCTATTTTCTATGAGAATTTTTCTAGGTACCTCAAATGGAATCATACAGTATTTGTCTTTCATTGCTGACTTCTTTCACTTATCACTATGTCCTCAAAGTTTTTATTGTAGCATGTATCAAAATTTCCTTCCTTTTTAAGGCTGAATAATATTCTCTTGTATGTATATACCACATTTTGTTTATCCATTCATCAGTTGATACATACTTGGGTTGCCTCAAATTTGGCTATTGTGACTAATGCTGCTATGAACATAGGTGTACGAATATCTCTTTGACATTCTGGTTCCAATTCTTTGGGATTTATACCCAGAAGTGGAACTGCTAGGTCATATGATGATTTTATATTTAAATTTTTAAGAGCCGCTGTACTGTTCTTTATAATGGCTGCACTATTTGACATTCCTGCCTACAGTGTGGAAAGGTTCCAGTTTTTCCACATCCTCACCAATGCTTGTTATGTTCTGGGTTTTTTAAATAGTAGCCATCCTTTTGGGTGTGATGTGGCATCTCATTGTGACTTTGATTTGCATTTTCTTACTGACTAGTGATGGTGAGCATTTTTCATGTGCCACTTGTATATCTTCTTCAGAGATATGTCATACTCCATTCTTTTGCCCATTTTTGAATTGGGTCATTGGTCTTTTTGTTGAGTTTTAGGAGTCCTCTATCCAGTAGTTCCCTTCTTATTCACAGTTTCACTTTCTGTGGCTTCACTTCCCTGTGGTCAACTGTGGTCTGGAAGCAGATGATTCTTCTGACATCAGAAGGTCAATAGTAGCCTAACACTACATCACAATGCCTGTGTCATTCACTTTACTTCATCTCATCACATTTTATCATCTCCCGTTGCAAGAAAGTACAGTAGAATAAGATATTTTGAGAGAGAGGACTATATTCACATAATTCTTATTACAGTATGTATATTCTATTAATTTCTTACTATTATTAATTTTTTCTAGTTTATAAATTAAACTTTATCACAAGGATGTGCGTATAACATACATATTAAACACATTGTGTGTGTGTGTGTGTATATATATATATATATGTATAGGGTTCAGTATTATTTGCAGTGGAACTAATCACCTCAGATAAGGGGAGGACTGCTGTATATTCTGGATGTCAATGCCTTATCAGATATGTGAGGTACCTATGTTTTCTCCCTTTTTGTGATTTACATTTTACTCTGTTATTAGTGGGTTTTGATTCACAAAAGTATTTAATTTTGATAAAATCCCAGGTTTTTATTGCCTGTACTTTTAGGGTCATATCCAGGGAATTATTGCCAAATCCAGTGTCATCATCAAGCTTTTCTCTTTGTTTTCTTCTAAGAGCTTCATGGCTTTTGCCCTTAGGTTTGCGTCTTTGATCCATACTGACTTAATTTCTGTATGTAGTGTTAGGTAGGTGTCCATCTTTAATCTTTTGCATGTGAATATCCAGTTTTTCTAGCATCATTGAAAAGATTGCCTTTTCTGTTTTTGAATGATACTGGCACCCTTGTCAAGAATCATTTGACAAAATAAGTGAGAATTTATTTCTGCATTCCCTGTTCCATTGGTCTGTGTGTCTTTATGCCATTACCATACTGCTTTTATTTACTGTCACTTTGTATTAAGTTTTGATATAGTGAAGTGTGAGTCTTCCACCTTTGTTCTTTTTCAAGACTATTTTGCTTATTTATACAGTGCCTCTTAAGATCAGTGCAACTGGTACAGTCACATTTTCTTTATTGAAATTATTTGTGCTTGATAAATAGGATTTAATATCTGTGTTTTTCACTCCACTTGTGCCTAGTGCACTAGTAAATGGAAAAAAATCATCTTTCTTTGAGTTTTTAAGGTTCTGCTTTTCTTTTTTAAATTTTTTTTTCAACGTTTATTTATTTTTGGGACAGAGAGAGACAGAGCATGAACGGGGGAGGGGCAGAGAGAGAGGGAGACACAGAATCGGAAACAGGCTCCAGGCTCTGAGCCATCAGCCCAGAGCCCGACGCGGGGCTCGAACTCACGGACCGCGAGATCGTGACCTGGTTGAAGTCGGACACTCAACCGACTGCGCCACCCAGGCGCCCCAAGGTTCTGCTTTTCTAAAGTCCAGAGTGTATATATCTATAGTTAGCCTTTGCTTAACTAACAAGATGACATTGCTAATCTTTCCTTGCTAACTTTTATGTATTTGGCCGGTATTTCATCTTAGCCAAAATGAAGTCCAGAGGAGCAGCTTTTTTGCTTCCTTTGTCTTTATGAATGATTCTTGAGAGATCTAATATCTTGAACCTTTGCTCCTGGAGCCTCTTCATTTAAACTTTTATGATCTTTTTTTTGTTTCTTTGGTTTAGTGTTCTTTTTTGGTTTGTTTTTCCTAGATTCCCTAACTTGGGAAACAAATTGGAAAGCCATTGCAAAGAATGAGACTAACAGCTTTGAAAACTTTGAATGAAGTATCCCTCTAGGAAAAATGATAATTCTCACATATTAAATTTTTGATAGGATAATAATTTTAAGTATTTTGCATAGTATTACTGTAAATAGAGAATTGTTCATGGGCATCTAAAACAAGGTTTAATTTTAAATGTTTTTCAGAACGTTGCATCTATTACAACACCAACTATATAGTAGCAATTATGCTTGTGCTGATAAATTAGGAAATCCAGAAATGTGTTTGTATAATTTCAGTAAGACAGGACATTTACTAAGTCTGAGCTAATAGAGATTTGATGGCCTAGAGTTGGCAGAACTATACAGAAAAAATAATCATTTTTAGATAATAATCTAATATGTGTGTTACATAATAGTAAGGTACCTGCTTTTTGGAACATGGAAGCTTCACGTTTCTTTACATTTTTATTTTATTTACAGGTCCTCCTCCTATCCCTGCAGAACCTGTTGTTTCACCTGAACCAGTCTATGTCTCAAAAATACATTATGGTAAGAAAGTCCTTCATAATGATATTTTTTTAGAAGGGGAGCCCAATAAAAAGTTATAACAACATATAATTAAAATATGCTCAGGTGGGGTGCCTGGGTGGCTCAGTCAGTTAAGTGTCTGACTCTTGATTTCAGGTCAGGTCATGATCTAATGGTTCATGAGTTCAAGCCTGACATCGGGCTCCACGCTGACAGCACGTAGCCTGCTTGGGATTCTCTCTCCCTTCTCTCTCTGCCTCTCCCACACATGAGCTCTATCTCAAAATAAACTTTAAGATAGTTTAGGTATGAAAATACATTAGTATTTTATCATTCAAACCTATCAGACTTCTACAAGGAGAAGAATTTCCTTCTATATTGTGCTAAAAATGAGAAATGAGGAATGGAGAGGAAAAATTGAAGAAATGGCTTTTTTCATATGAGGAGATGGTTCATCAATTTCATATATCTTCTCTTTTGAGAATGCTTTTCTTTTGTAGGCTTTTCTTTTGTTAATGAAAACCAACAGCTTTCTGGTAGTGCTTAACTGTTGGGCATTCATTTTAAGTAATCAGTTTCTTAATCACAGTTATTTGTCACACAAGCTCAGGAAAACTATGACTGCAATTGCAGTTACTAATTACATGACCAAAGATCAACTACTTCTCCATGTACCTTAATTTTTCCATTTGTAAAATGTCCATAATAATAATTACCTAATAGGGTAATTGCGAGGATTCCGTGTAATCATATATGTAAAATACTTAAAGCAGTGCCAGTAGATGCTTCCTAAATAGTAACGTTTTATTATAATACTTTGTCATATTCAATACTGTATGGTAGTTATTGTATACTTTTCCCATTCATTGGTTTATGAATCCCCTGAAAGTCAGGAAATTACTCTTTACTTCTTCATTGCCTACATAGTGGTAACATTTCAGACTTCAAAGTTTAGAGTATTTATAGAATTAAAATGAAAAAGAGCCTACCTTTCTCTTTTCTATGTCTGCAGATTAGGATTTGAAAAATGGGTTTATGCTTAGTCAAACTTGTTTTCTGTTGTCTTTTTTTTCTCATTGTTATTGTTATGTCTCTTTCTCTAAAACAGAGAAAGACCCTGCACATTTATGAGTTTGTTTGCAGTAAAAGGACCAGACCAGGGAAAGTAGGCACATTCAAATGGCAAAGTCTACCAACAGTTTAATATAGTCACTTGATCTAACAGTCACAAGAATTGATGAAGAGAAGGGAAGTGAGGGATCAATCCAGCAATAGTCATCTCTTAATATGGGAAAGGGCTCTGGTCTGTCTTTTCAGCCTCTGTGGGCAATTTTAATGAATAGTGGGGTAGAATCTCCGGTCAATGATTGACAAATAACACAGATTATGATTACCCTGAGAAAACAGATCAGTCTGTGGGGAAGAAGGAACATATGTTAACAGTATGTTTAAAGAAATACAAGATTAGGGTCAGCTTTGGTAGGCTCAGAAGGAGTCAAGTGTCAGAAAAAGGAGAGCAAACATTATCCTTCAAACACAGGAGTTGGATGTTATTGCCTTTGAAGAAAAAAAATTTGAGACTCACAATAATTTCCGAAACAGATTCTGCTATGCCAGTTATAGAAGATACCACTATTTCACAGCCTGTTTGCTCTGCCATATCTCTGACTGGACCATATCTTCATTAAAAACAGTGATATTTTGGGAGGCACCTGGGTGGCTCAGTCTGTTGAGCATCCGACTTCAGCTTAGGTCATGATCTCACGGTTTGTGAGTTCAAACCCTACATCAAACTCTGCTGACAGCTCAGAGCCTGGAACCTGCTTCAGATTTTGTGTCTCCCTCTCTCTCTGCTCCTCCCCTGCTCACTCTCTGTCCCTGTCTCTCAAAAATGAATAAATGTTAAAAAAATGATATTTTGGCTTTGAAGATAAGTTCAGATTACACATGATACTAAAAACACATGACACTTGAAATTGGCAACTTGAAATCAAAGAAATGGTGTTACTTGGGATTATGTATGTCATGTTCTTATCTCATTCTTCATTTTCAGTAATTTGTGAAATCATTTTATTTCCTCAATAGCTGGAACACATGTATAAGGAAAATGATACTACTTATTTTTTTACTTGCATGGTACTAAGAGATACAATTTAGTACCTAAGATTTGATTATATTCACAATATTATTTCCTTCAACACTGAATTAAGATCAAGAGGATTACTGATACATTGTTAAGACCCAAGTGTTCTTTATGATATTTAGGTGCAATCTTTTAATGGGTAGCAAAACATTCTCTTGCCCCATACACGATTCTTACTCTAGCAGTACTAATTGCAGTGTGGTTTTTCTACTCCATATCGTAATACAAAATAATTGCTAACTACATGTGGTATAATTAAACAAATTATAGTACATTTATTCTATAGATCCATTAGGAAGGATGTGGTAGTTACTATGTCTATCCTTGAGTGATGGCCAAGACCAAGTAAATGCAAAGGGTGCATTTCAGCATGTCCCAGTTTTTATATTTTGAAGTGATATATGTTTATAGATTCTAAAAATTTCTGTTAAGAACTAAAATAGTGCCCACATTTGGTGAGGGAACCTCTGAATGTAAATCTTTATATTGCTGTTTCAGTTAAAAAAAAAAAAGTAAAATTTTAAAATATCCTTAAATGAATACTGCTTCTGTATGATGAGTTTTTGGTGATAAGCAGAGCCAAGATGCTGAGAATTTCTCGTTTATATTTTTACTGCATAAGGACCAAAAACTAATTTATACACCACACATTGAGGGTTTTGACCAATTTTAGGTAAATGTATGCTAGCATGCAATTATAATAATTTTTACCTCCACATTGTATGCTTTGCGATGAGATAAAAGAATATAGCCATTACTTTATTCTTTTTTCTCTCAGAGCTTCATTTTGTGATTAATTTTATGATTGTTCTCATTCTTCTTGATAATGTGAATTTGGAGTTTATTTCGGCCAATAAAATAGCATTAACAGTATTAACAGAAAAATTAAATATTAACAAATATAAACAAAAGCATGCAAATGACCTAACTACAATGTGTTGTATCCAGTTAGCAGAATGTTAGCTGAGACCATAATCAAATTTTTATTACTTGTGTGCTTTTAATGTAATTTATTATTGAGCAGGTCAAAAGAATTTCTATGAAAATTATAATCAATTATTCATTTCATATATACATAATGCATGATAGAAAAGTTCTTTCATTGCTTTTTTTCCTCTGAAAATATGAAATGGGCTACAGACTACTTGGTAGACTGCTTAGCAGCCATCATGAAACATGAGGAACTGTCAGTGTCTTACAACTAAACTTTGAGAAACACTGTATGGTATCATGTGATTCTGCAACCTCTCATTCTCTAAAACAAGGGTCCTTCAGTAGGGATACACAAAGTAACAAATGGCCAGGGCCCTACCCCAGAATCTTTAGTTCTCTCATGTTTTTAAAAAATTTTTAAATATTTTTATTTGAGAGAGAGAGGGAGCAGGGGAGAGGCAGAGAGAGAATATGAAGTGGTCTCCACACTAAGAGTAGAGAACCATATGTGGGGCTCGAACTTACGAACCATGAGATCATGGCCTGAACTAAAGTTGGACGCTTAAGCAGCTGAGCCACCCAGGTATCCCTCTGTCATGTTTAAAAAAAAAATCCATGGGTAATTTCTGATGTATATTCTTGATTATAAACTGTTCTGTGGTAATCCTGGTTACTTAACACTGTCTTTATCCCCTTTCAAAGTTTAGGACTTTTTAGTAGGAACATGGAACTATATCAAGGGTCTAAGTACTCCGTGTTTTTCAGTGGTTCTCAGTGGGGCAAATAACTAAGGAATGTATTTCAATTATCACAATGATGAGGGAAGACTACTGGCTTTCAGTGAGATGTTGGTTGTCTGGCAATGTAGAATAATCCTATACAACAAAGAAGTGTGTCTTATAGGACTTTTGAATATTTCAAAAATATAGATCAGTAACTCTCTAGTGTGTAATATGAAGACATTAAGAGAAATTTTCTATAAAGCTTAATAACGTGTTTTATTTGGAATGGAATGCTTTAAAATATCAGTCATGATGTAAGTTATAATTTGCTTATACATCTATAAGTTACAGACTCAATTGTTAAGGTTGTAATTGGAATAATAGAGGCCTCTGCAAGAAAGCACAGTATTCTTCAAATTCATACTCCATTTGATTTTTTTTTCCAGAAGGGAGACATATTCAGCATGGAAAGATATCCCAAATTGTTAAAGAAACATTTAATCAACTAATATATAATCATTCAGAATATCTGAAATGTAGCAATTCATTGGCTGCTTTTATAATTGAAAGAGGTAAGTCCAAATACATGGGATGTGTTGGTTTGTAGAAAAGCTATTATATATCCTAATTTTAAGATGTATATAGTAGTATTTTAATTAAATAACTTTGACCCTTTTTACAGTGGTATTGCATTGATTTGAAGTGGCTTTTTCTAGTGGGTGTGTATCATTTTTTAAAATATAATTTATTGCCAAATTGGCTAACACATAGGGTGTAAAGTGTGCTCTTGAGTTTTGGGGTAGCTTCCCATGGTTCATCGCTTACATACATAGTGGGTGTATATCATTAAACACAAAGGCTCTCAAAGTTAAAATATACTGACCAGACACTAATAGAGAACTGCAGAATGGTAAAATGCCTAACATTTTAAACAAGAACTCTGTTAGAACCACTACCAGACTGAATTCTAATTTCCATTATGACAAAGAGAAAGACTCTATATAATAAATGACCAAATTTTCATTTTAAAGTAAGAAAAGATTACTATGGAAAATCATGAACTTCTGGTTATTCTTGTGGATATTATGATGATTCCAACTACATTTTATCTTTTATTTACCCTTTAATGTTCTGTGTTGATCATTAAAAGTATTTAAATTTTATATTTGTTTCAGTTAAGAGATTATAGATGATATAAAACAAATTGGAGGTTTGGTTCCTGGTCTTAAGGAGTTTTTATAATTTAAATGGGGAGAGAAGATATATATACTATTGGGAAAGTCTAAGATGATAAAAGTTAATTATTTTCTATGATCAAAAGATGTATGAAAAATTCATAGACAATAGAAACCTGATAGAGTTAAAATCTTTGGGAATAAGTGGGACTTAAGCTGAAACTTTAAGGATTAATAAGGCTTATTTAAATAGAGGAAAAGAAGACACTTTTGGAGAAAGATATGAGGGAAGAAAGCAGCAGTGAGAAAAATTTTTATGGAACAATGAAAGAAATGTATTACTAGTGTGGAAGAGATATACATATATACATATACATAACGTATATATGCACACACGTGCATGCACGCACACACACAGGAGTAATACAAAATGTTGTTAGGTTGATAAGATGTTACCAGATTATGGAGTCATTTATTTATTTATTTAAAAAAATTTTTTTGATATTTATTTTGAAGGAGAAAGAGGACAGAGTATGAGTGGGGAAGGGGCAGAGAGAGAGGGAGACAGAATCTGAAGCAGGCTCCAGGCTTCAAGCTGTCAGCACAGAGCCCCATGTGGGGCTCGAACCCATGAACTGTGAGATCATGACCTGAGCCAAAGTTAGACACTTAACCGACTGAGCCACACAGGTGCCTCTGGAGTCATTTAAAATCCAATCAGGAAACAAATGAAAAGGAAAATACAACAATCCAAACGCTTTGGGATGCAGCGAAGGCAGTCCTGAGAGGAAAATACATTGCAATCCAGGCCTATCTCAAGAAACAAGAAAAATCCCAAATACAAAATCTAACAGCACACCTAAAG